CAATAATAATAACAATTTACATTTATAAAGCTGCTTTAAACAATCGTTCTAAGCGCTGCTTAGTAGACGTATGTAAGGAACAAAAAAATTAGTCCAGCGAAACGCACATCTTTGTGAGTGGCTCCAATAAGCGTCCTCACGGAACGACCACCGTCCGCACTTTGCGACTCGTGCGAATGCGGGCAGACATAGCGAGAAGGTCAGAGCCCTCTGTATCACTGCGCCGCCGTGCATCACGTGCGCCACGCCGGGGAAAGGCAGAGCACTCGCGCGGGATGACACAGCAACAACACAACATTGGCATGGGTTTCAAACAACATGAGCAAAACGTGCGAAAGAGCGCACGGCTCCTCTGTGAATTATGCAAAACAAGCCATCAGCATTTCCTGAACAAGTGCTCTGTGGTTATTTCGTCAATGGGTCACCGTCAAGGGCTGAGACAGATCCAAAGTAGTCCATCACTGCTGCTGTCAGTCGGTCACATTGGCTCGAATTTATTTTGATGGTGACCTAAGATAATAGGACCATAATTCACGTCTTCAGGAATTGTTGATGGTTTCTGCATTTTGCAACAAACGCTGTGTGTGTGTGTGCTTTTTTTGTTTACGCGTTTCTGCGTGTTGTTTGAAAGTTATGGATTTCATGGCCTGCCACTCTTATTCTGCTGTGATGGGGTATTTCTCGTCATTTACAGATTTGAAGAAGAACATCGATTGGCATCTCCCACCTGGCGAGCCCTCCCTCCCCTGCAGCCCCGCACCCCCCCCCCCCCCCGGTTTGATCACGTGCCCCCACCTACCTTTGTCTCTCCATGAACTCGGCAAGACAAAGAAGAAAGGGCAGCTTTGAGATTTAACACCCCCCCCACACACACACACCCACCGACCCAAAAAAAATCAAACAAAAGCTTACAGCGGTCTGCAAATTGGAAACGTATAAATGGTTCAGATCGGTGCCCGACACAGCTCCCAGTATGCACGAGCGAAGCCGACTTGAATCGTCCGCTCTCTCCGAGAGCCATTCACAAACGGGTCTTGCATATCTATTATATATGCATGTATCCTAGGGGTGAGTTTTATTTTAGTATTTGCTCTTTATTTCTTTACAGTTCAGCTTTTTTCTAACCACCCCCTTATTTTTTTTTGGGCTTACCACACCGCCGAACCATTCATTACATAAACAGCAGCAACAGACTGCTGAATAATACAACAACAAAATCAATTAAACAATTAATTTCCTGATCGCCCTCATGCGCGTTGTATATATACCTCGCGTCCGAGGCGCAGAGGCTGTTTGTCATGCGTAACTTGTGGCACGTCTGTTTGTGTGTGCGTGTGTTCCGTACCTAAATCAGAGCAGTGGGACACAATTCTCATTAGTATGCCTAACGGCGCAGCTGGGGCCGCGTATTTACATGTAAGCAAATTACAAATAAAATGCATACAGCCCAGTCCCCAGAGTCCCCAGGTCCGCATTAAAGCCTCCACACATTCACGACTAGAGACTGCATTTTTAACGCTTCCGTTGCTGTCGTTTTTTTGTTGTTTGGCAGTGGTAAAGAGATCACCCGCTGTGAATTTGTGTACCAGGTGCTGTTGGGTATGATCATCGCAGGCCCCTTCGTTTTGCATGGCTAGATTGTGGAGACTTTGACAGGTCATGTCCCATCTCAACCCCCACCCTCCGCTCAACTCAACACTGACCAAGGTGGTGAAGTATGGTCAAATAACCTCCCGTGACTGACATGGCGCGCGGTGGGGGGGGACGTTCATCCAACAATCGATTGACAATAGGGCTGTCAATTATTGTTGTTGATGTTATTTAGACTGCACTGATAGTGAGCCCATATCAAGGCAGAACCGCACACGGGTTCATCTCCGCAGTGTTAATGTTGGACAGACAGCTGTGGCTGAACCGATTTAGTTGACACTCAATAGTGTTTTGCGATCAATGTTGGCACATGGCTAGGAATGGAAGCATTGAGGTGGCACGATCGAGTAGGACACTCGCCTACCAATCATCGCCAGGAGTACTGCCCAGTGCCGGATTAAGTAGTGCAGGGCCTGTAGCATATGTTATGAATGGGCCCTAAATAGAAAAAAACACATATGAAAACACAAATTTTTAACTTGCATAGTAAAGTAATTGTATTTTATCATTTGCCATACAGCCAGATAATACGACAATTCGCTAATCTTAAACACCCATTCGTTCATAAAAGTTGAAGGCAGTAGAATACTATCGTTATATAGCAAGTGCAGAATCACTGAACCGGAATTGAGAGATTGAAAGCATTTAGCGCGGGGCCCTTGAAAGTGCGGGGCCAGTAGCATTTGTAGCTACTTTCGCTACTAGGATAATCCGGCACTGGTACTGCCTACAATCACAAGTGGATGTGTGACTGATGTAAATTCGAACGCTCTTCTGCAAGGGTTCGAAATCTAACGCTTGCCACAATTACCATTGCGAATGCACTCGTTCGTTGCTTGAATTCACGCCAAGGGCAGGATCAGCCTAACGTTCTAAATTGCTTTAAGTTTCGTAATTACCACGTGTAGAAGATTACCTTCATCGTCGAAACCAAGTAATTAGTTTCGCATGATGTGTGATGCTGAAGTCGAAATAAAGTAGTTGAAGTCCACCAGAAGCTACTCGTACAACGTGTGAATATTGCATCGTCGATATACCCAGGTCAAAAATGGTACCCTTCTGGGACCAGATAAAAGAAGGCCGACTGAGGTGGCTTGGACTTGTCATAGCAAGGAAAGGAAACCACACCCCACGAAGGCCAATGAAGAAGGAAGCTACTACGCTCCAACGACTATTTTTATTTTACCAGGTAAGGCCCACCACGCTACACAGCTCTTTTTTCAGAAGCGACCTGGTCACAAATGATAGCTCAACGAAGCGGTTCGTCACATGGAAATGTATAGCAGTCAGATACTCTGAACGCGTGTTTCTAAATGTGGATGGAAAAACCGGAGGACCCCGGAGAAAAAATCCACGAGACCACGGGGAGAGAGACACGCACACTTCAAATACACAGCAGGCGTCAGAGGTCGGGATTAAACCCATGAATCTCATGTATACCGGGCGAGGGAGATAACATCTCGCCACCGTGGCGTCCCAAGCACGAAGGCAGAGAGCAAATGGCTGGTCGAAAAAGAGGTGCTACAAAATGGTGAAACTAGGGTTTGCAGGTCGGTGGAGTGGATGTGAAGATGGTCCAGGACAGGCATGAGTGGGGGAGAGAGGACGAGGAAGGAGGATCCCCCCCCCCCCACCACGAGTGCGAATATTGGCAGGATTAAGGACATATTTCCAGGTCTACCTTGCCAACAATACTTTGTTGTCTCTATCATCTCTCAACTGACAAAGTGAAGGTTACAGTATTGAACAATGTGTCAGTCCACTTCTGGGTGAAGGCCTCCGTATGACCGTTGCCGGTCACGCTGGCTCTCCGAGCATACTTCGCCCCGCCGATTAGTGCCGGCTGGTAAAGGGACGACCCTTTAATCTGCTTACAATCAATACAAATTTCACTTATCGCATACATTTATACGCAAATGCAAAAACTGCATAAAGCAACGTTCGGTTAGAGTATTTTCCAAGTCTTGGGTTGTCATTTGAATAATAATCTGAGCAATGCGCTTTTTAGATCGAGGCCGTGCGGTGCACGGGATGCGTGGCGGTGCTCGAGGGGGAGATATGTGTGCCGTATTGTGGTGGGCTGACGGTATGCGGATGGATGGGCCTCCCCTAGGTCGACTCAGCCTCAATTGAGTACTGCACCTGGTGCTGTGTGTACACATCAACACTGGGGCGTGATGCTGGCCACCCACCCCATCGCGTGCCGAGCCGGCCTTCGTAGGCACTCGCTGACAGAACTTGCCCCAACAGTCCGGAGGGCAGAGGAGGGCAGAGGAGCGACAACTCACAACAATGAGCGGAGCGCCGGGGGCAAATAAAACGGAGCCAGTTGGCACAGTAAGGGGACACAGGTGGTGCATCTCCAAGTCATATTAGTCAGTCATGCGTCCTTGTGCCAGTCGAGCCTTCGACACTTCGCGTGGCCTCAAAGTGCACGGGCAGCCTGGCACGAACGCCGCAGCGACATCACCGCCACTCGGTGGCGAATGGCTGCTGCTGTTGTTGTCGTTGTCGTTGTGTATCTTTGAAGCGATCTGTCAACGGCGACAAGACGGTTACACATATTGAGCGTCTTGGTGGTGCGCTTCACGGAATGGTCGCGCTCTCAGTGTCGGCGTGCACGGCGAGCCCGAGACGAGACACCGGTGGCCAAAACGCTGCCCGCATGAATCACTCAGGAGGAGGTACAAGCAGCGTGCGTGTGCCGTCTTATTTCACACGCGGCTAAATTACTATGCACAAAGCCCTGACATTTAGGAGCACGCTTGCTTGCGTGCCCTTTATTACAACCGTGGGTGCCCGGATTACAGGAGGGTCACTATTGAGGACTCTGGGAACATGGCCTGGGACAGATTGGAGGAGAGCGAGGAGGAGAGGAGGCGCGGGGGGGGGGATTCGGGGAATTATTTTTGAGCCACGTGTACTCACTCCACAGTTATCCGTACAACAATTAACGTGAACGGCCACGGCTGTATCTGCACTGGCGTCCATAGCAAATGAAAGCGATCCTGTTCACGAATATGGTGATGATGTGCGTGATGTTAGTGTGCTACGCGTGTGTGTGCATCGCAACTTAATAATTTGCAGCCGAGATTGGCTCTCCCAATTTAATTACACAAATAGCCACGGCCGCTATTGGCCAAGTTGTGCGTGTAATACTTCTGCGCCTTACATAGCCAACCGTGCTGATCGGAGGTGCTGTCTTTATGTTAAAACTTCTTTCGCACCGTACGCTGTCAACCATGCTAATCGGATGTGCTGCGTGTATGTTGAACTTCTTTCGCACCGTACGTTGTCAAACGTGCTGATCGGAAGTACGGTCAACACAGCTGTAGTCAACACAGTTGTAGTCAACTGTAGTCAACACAGTTGTAGTCAACACAGCTGTAGTCAACACAGTTGTAGTCAACACAGCTGTAGTCAACACAGTTGTAGTCAACACAGTTGTAGTCAACATAGTTGTAGTCGACACAGTTGTAGTCTACACAGTTGTAGTCAACATAGTTGTAGTCAACACAGTTGTAGTCAACACAGTTGTAGTCGACACAGTTGTAGTCGACACAGTTGTAGTCGACACAGTTGTAGTCAACACAGTTGTAGTCAACACAGTTGTAGTCGACACAGTTGTAGTCGACACAGTTGTAGTCCACACAGTTGTAGTCAACATAGTTGTAGTCGACACAGTTGAGGTCGACACAGTTGTAGTCAACACAGCTGTAGTCAACACAGCAGTAGTCGACACAGTTGTAGTCGACACAGTTGTAGTCAACACAGTTGTAGTCAACACAGTTGTAGTCAACATAGTTGTAGTCGACACAGTTGTAGTCGACACAGCTGTAATCGACACATTTATAGTCCATGGGAAAGTCCCGTCTAGCGAGCCAAAGTGTGGGTACTCCGACCTTCATTCCATACGTCTTTCCAGTGTGGAAGAGTAGGCCAAATACCCTCTGGGAGGGATTATATAAAGCTCCCCCTAATAGAGGTCCTTCTGCCAGCAGGGGCATGAGCGTGCAATTGCAGGGCTGAACGTCTACCTTTCCCCCCTTTACTTAACAGCGTCGGCTCCTCCATTAAATCGATGTAACGTGTTGAATATACTTGGATCAGATGCGCCTATTAAGGTCACAGAGGCATCCAAGGAGATGATGTGGCCGAATCCACGCTTGTTTTCCGGCCACATTGTGAGCCAATGCATACAGCAGCGCCAGCAAGCTACTCGTTTAAGGCCGAGCAGATCTGGAGGAAGCCCACGTCTGATTGAGATCACCTGGCACTGGCGCAGAGCATGACCAGGATTTGAACCCAGATCTCCCATATTGTTGTGCGGGACGCAAAGTTGAGTAACCACAATACCGTTTGGCACGCATTTCGTTATCCATTTCTGAACGCACAAAGGCACGCGAAGAGACGGCTCGCGGTCGAGAGAGTCCATAACTGAATATGGGAAACGCCCTTCAGACGTATTGTTGTGCCCTGCAGGAGTTCACGCCAAATGTTTGTTCCTCGCAGTGGTAGTGGTGGTGAGATGTTAACGGCCTCGCCTGGTGTACAGGACGCCGTGTGTGCGATCCCAACCCTGATGCCTGCCGTATGTTTGGAGTTTGAATCTTCTCCACATTGTTCACGTGGATTTTTCTCAGGGGTCCTCCGTTTCCTCCCCCCCCCCCCCCTCTCCACATTTGACCATCAACATCACTCGTTTGGAGTATTTGGCTGCTATAAATGTGCACACGACAAGCCCACTTCGTGGAGCTATCCATTGGTGGTAGCCAGGGTCGCTTCTTTAAAAAAAAAGAGCTATATAGCTCAGTGGGCTTTACCTGGTAAAAAAAAATTAAATTAGTTTTAGTTTAGTTTTGTATACGGAGTAAAGAGATTTGAGGGCAGCTGCACATTGCCTGGGAAAACACGCGCGTTGTTACCTGTTGTGTGGCGTACTTAAAGACTGCCACACGAGTCGGACTAGCCGCTGCCCACGCGGAATTGGTTTGTGATTTGTGCTGTGCCCTTGGCGTTTTGGCTTAGAGAAAGAAATGCGGGGAGCGGACGGTGCGGAGGGGTTGGCGTTGCGGCACATGTAAATCTAGAAATATAGAGGGCACGACAAGAAGGTCCCTCCCCTCCCCATCGAAACGGGCTCCAAGGGGTTGTTGACATCTGAACAGATATTCCAGCGTTCGCAACACATCAGATGCGCCTTGTAACACACAAGAACGAAAGAAAGAGATAATAAAAAACAAGCGTTCCGCTGCGATTATTATTAATATTGTTATTTTATCCAAGAGCCACTGCTAGGGGCCCGCCCCTCCGTGTCAGCCATCGCGGCACCGATCGCTGAGATCAAAGAGACGGCGAAAGTTGTAAAAATGCATTTGATGAGTTCCCTAGACGCCGCCGTCATTGCTGTATTTATATTTTGGTCATCATCGCCGGTTTGTAAGTGGGCACCCGGTGAAAACGGTGGGAGGGGGGGGGGATTTTACGAGCACAACAACAACGACGACGGACAAGACAAAGTGGGAAAGAGCGTGTGTTGTTTTACTTTGAATTTAACCTCTTGCTTTGCTTCCTCCACGGCCTGTCATCGAATTGTAAATGAGTTTTGACAATGCGTGGTGGGCCCGCGCGGGACAGAGCTCACGAGGGTTCCGATGGACGGCCGGAATAGATAGTTACTGCTGGGCTCAGGGGCTTCTGAGTAAGCCACATTTCATGCGGGTTTTTTTATATATATGTGCGCTGCTCGCTCCCCATCATCTCATCCCATCTCTCACTCCCATCATCAACAACACGACCACAATACTCGTTCCTCATTCTAGCCCCTCCTCCTTGTCCTCTGTCCCCAAAACCTTAACCTTATCAGACAGCGTAGGCCAAGTGCATTAAATCTTCTTTCTGCATGCGGCTTTGCCTGGGGTATAACCTCTCTTAGCTTTGAAAGGGCCTGCACCCCTATCTCAATAATCTCTGTATATGTCACAGCAGACCTAAATCAGAAATCGGTAACTCCAGGCCGTGTGGGCTGAGCAAAATTGTCGGTCTTGTGAACAAACATATATATTTTATTTTTTACTGGAGAGATGCTGAGTTGTGTTGTCCATCGATGTTGAGTTGTCCACTGTGTAAACACATGAACGGATCACCCAGCTCACCAGATGGCAAAGATCTCCCCGATAGCCTACACAGGGTGTTGGAGCAATAGCTGCTAGGGATCGCATCGGAAGGCCGGCTTAACAAGAACAACCCCGATTTGCCACTAAGTTGTGGTGGCGTCACAACACGCCACTTGTTCCAGGCTATGTTCACTGTGTCACGAGACAGACCCAGGTGCCATGGGTTGACTAAGATTATTGACAGCTGGACCACCTGTTAATTCCAACTGTGCCAACTTGTGAGCGTCTCTCCTCTGCTCTCCGTTGTTGTTGGGAGAGCGACTGCCTCCAACTGCCCAGTAGCATCCTTCGCGAGTCTCCTCCATAGAGTCCGATATTGACACCGCTGGTACCAGTCATCGGCAAGTCCACTCAGCTTTAAATAAAAAAGTCCACTCAGCTCTAAATCCACCTGTACCTCATCAGCCCAATACTTCGATAGTCTGTGCCACACCCATTTAGTCAACTCTATCTAGCCAAACGAGCTGCTTGGGCGTGCGGTGGCTGGGCATGCGGGCTACATGACCAAGCCAACGCAGCCTCCCCTGTCGGAGGAGCTCACTGATGGGACTGTGTCCAGATCTGTCAATGATTTATGTTAACTCCTCAAACAATCCAGCCTGGTTAAAACCAGGATGGATCGTAGGCAGGCCTGCCGGAATATTTCAAACTGGAACAGATGTTCCATCAGAGGGGTCCAGGTTTGCAAGCATAGAGAAGGGAGGGCATGATTGTGGCCGAGAAGACCTGCAACTTCGTATGAAGCTACAAGCTAGGTAATTTCCACATTGCTTTACGCAGCCAATGAAAAGACAAGATCTCTGCTGCCAAAGTGGAACTAGTCGTAAGCAGACTGCCCCACTGTGGGAACTCCTCCACTCTTCCACAACTGTTCCCATGACTCATGGTTTCGTTGAGGGGAGGGAGTGTTTGATGACACGCAACACTGATACAGGTGCTTTGTTTTTGTGGGGCCGACATCAAGGCTCCTACCTCTCCTGAACGCGTTCAGGAACCTGGAAGGCCATCTCAACCAAACAACAGCAACCGCCAATCGCCACCAAGTAGCGGTGACGTCACCACAGCACTTGTGCCAGGCTGTGTGCACGTTAAGGTCACGTGAAGTGTTGAACGCTCGCTGGCAGGTCACGGGAGAGACCCATTTGCCATTGGTCGACTGACTGAGATGACTGGCCGATGCACCACCTGTGCCCCCAACTGTCAACTTGCTGTGCTTTAGCCACCCGGCGCTCCGCTTGTTGTTGTGAGCGTCGTTCCACTGCCCTCAGTTTTTTCTGGAGGGCGACTGCCTCCAGCTACCCAGTAGCGTCCTTCACAAGCCTCCTCCACAATACAAAGACACAAACAAAGACACACACATACACGCGTGTCATCCCATCAAGCTATAACCTAGTGTAATCATTCCCTTCAATTAGCTAGAAAAAGATTCACAGTCTCAAGGCGTTTTTTCGAGTGATGTCCTACATTAAGGTACTATTTATAATATTTATTTATATCCTGTACAGCCTCACCGAGTATCAAGACTGCCCTCCAATTGAAAAGTGTTAATTCTCTTTCACGAGTGTGGGAGGAAACTGGAGCCACCCATATTTTACACCCACAAAAAAGATACACACATAAATAATAGCACAACACACGGCCCTCCGCACAGATTGATTCAATAATGCATTTGCAGCTCCTTACCACTTTGGCAGAATCAGAGCCCGCAACAACAATGACATGACCAGGCAGTCCTCGAAATCCAAGTAACTAACCAGGCTCGACCCTGCCAATGCGCTCGCAGGCCTACAATGCACGAGCATATGCGCGTGTGATTGTTGGCCGTAGACGTGTGTCAAAACGGTACGCGTGAACGAGTCGATAAGCACTCACGGCGACCTGCTGCTGATGCTGCTGCTGAAAATGTGCGAGACTGCAAGCGTTCTCCGGGACACCAAGCCACGCTCAGTCAAGCGACGATGCCGCCGCTACCTGGTGCTGCTGCTGCCCTTGTTTTACTTCGTGGCGCTTTCTTGAAATCGTGGCGCTTTCTTGAAATTGTGGCCCTTTCTTTAAATCGTGGCGCTTTCTTGAAATCGTGGCCCTTTCTTGAAATCGTGGCGCTTTCTTTAAATTGTGGCGCTTTCTTGAAATCGTGGCCTTTTCTTTAAATTGTGGCGCTTTCTTGAAATCGTGGCCCTTTCTTTAAATTGTGGCGCTTTCTTGAAATCGTGGTGCTTTCTTTAAATCGTGGCGCTTTCTTGAAATCGTGGCCCTTTCTTTAAATTGTGGCGCTTTCTTGAAATCGTGGCCCTTTCTTTAAATCGTGGCGCTTTCTTTAAATCGTGGCGGTTTCTTTAAATTGTGGCCCTTTCTTTAAACCGTGGCCCTTTCTTTAAATCGTGGCACTTTCTTGAAATCGTGGCGCTTTCTTGAAATTGTGGCCCTTTCTTGAAATTGTGGCCCTTTCTTGAAATTGTGGTGCTTTCTTGAAATCGTGGCGCTTTCTTTAAATCGTGGCGCTTTCTTGAAATCGTGGCGCTTTCTTTAAATCGTGGTGCTATCTTGAAATCGGGGCGCTTTCTTGAAATTGTGGCCCTTTCTTTAAATGGTGGCCCTTTCTTTAAATCGTGGCGCTTTCTTTAAATCGTGGCGCTTTCTTGAAATCATGGCCCTTTCTTTAAATTGTGGCGCTTTCTTGAAATCGTGGCCCTTTCTTTAAATCGTGGCGCTTTCTTTAAATCGTGGCGGTTTCTTTAAATTGTGGCCCTTTCTTTAAACCGTGGCCCTTTCTTTAAATCGTGGCGCTTTCTTGAAATCGTGGCACTTTCTTGAAATTGTGGCCCTTTCTTGAAATTGTGGCCCTTTCTTGAAATTGTGGCGCTTTTTTGAAATCGTGGCGCTTTCTTGAAATCGTGGCGCTTTCTTTAAATCGTGGCACTTTCTTTAAATCGTGGCGCTATCTTGAAATCGGGGCGCTTTCTTGAAATTGTGGCCCTTTCTTTAAATGGTGGCCCTTTCTTTAAATCGTGGCGCTTTCTTTAAATCGTGGCGCTTTCTTGAAATCGTGGCCCTTTCTTGAAATCGTGGCGCTTTCTTTAAATCGTGGCCCTTTCTTGAAATCGTGGCGCTTTCTTGAAATTGTGGCCCTTTCTTTAAATGGTGGCCCTTTCTTTAAATCGTGGCGCTTTCTTTAAATCGTGGCGCTATCTTTAAATTGTGGCCCT